CTAAAAGGCAGGGCATGGCGGGGGTTCGCCGTATGCGTCCTCGATAGTTGGTCTCCTCGGAGCCTTCTGGCAACCAGCTTGACGCCAGGAGCAGAGTTGGCCGTGAGCACTATGTAAGGCACAAGCTATACGAATGCTGCTCTCCTCCTTCTTTGCAGACCCTTCCCCCTTGTGCCTGTTCATGGTGAGCGCTTTCGATGAGGGCATACAGCGCTACTGCGTGCGAATGTGTATCACAATCTTACACGTTGGTCGGAAGACGTGGGTAGAAGCATGAAGTAGGACAGCGGTATAAATATATTGGGCTTCCGCCCGCCCCCTGAAGAGGAGGGAAGAGGGGAAACCGCTGGGATCTGGGAGTCCAGAAATACCTACTTCAACGACCGACGGGTATCCGTGATCCTCGACAGTGCTGCCCCCCAGTGCTGAAGCGCAGCGTCCGAAGGCGCCCCGCGGGAGGCTGCTCCGGGCGATCCCTCCACCGCACACTGGCTTCTTGCGGCCGCCCCGAGATCCGAGCCCACACGGTCGAAATTGCTGGCCTGACGGCCGCAACAGGTTCCGAGACGGGCGAGCGACACACCCTGGGGCAACGGAGCCCATACGCATCCACTGCTCCTGGCCATGCCCATCCTGGGTCCACGCCCCCCTGGCTTGGCCGGGGAGGCATGTACTCCGCTCCTGGGCCCAGGATGGGCCTGGCCAGGAGCAGTGGATGTGCACGGATGTCGCCCCACACCTGGTCCCCCGAGCTGGTGGAGCGTCCCCTGGCCGAACGCACTTGAGCAGTCAAGCAAGACTTTATGAATTACACCTGCACGATCCAGACTGACGCTTGGGCAGCTGCACCCGGGAATGCTACCTCTCGCGACTGCGTCCCACAGGCAGAGAGTGTCCGAAATCAACATTCGCAAATCGATAACATACGAAACTGGGGTCGATCGGTAACCAGTCGTGTCCACTGTGGAGCACGACCGCGCCCGCTGCCGTTCCCTTTCCCAGCGCCATCCTTCCGGCGCGCGGTGCCACCCGATCTCCCACAGCCGGCCCAGCCGAGCGCCGCACGCTCCAAACTCCCGATGTCGATCTGTGCAGCCGCAGCCTCGGGCTCCGCGTCCGCGCCTTCTTCTGCGTCCTGGATTTTTGTGAGTCCGAAGCAAACCGAACACGCCGAACACCACCACGTCGTGCACCGAGAAGACGAGAGAGCTGTTCAGTTGGAGGCCGAAGCGCTTTGGAGTAGGAAAGACGCTACTCAAATAAACTGTTGGCGCTCCGGCTTCCCTGTATCTGCGCTGGTCCCCTCCCTGGCGCGCGGAGCGCGCCAGGGGCGGCGCCGGAGGCGCCGCCAGGGAGGCCCGGCGCGGATCCAAGAAATTTGCGCGGAGCGCCAAAAGTCTATGTTAATGTTTTTTGTTCTTCTTCTCGGGTCGGGCGAAAGGGGGGGATAGCAAAGGGAGGGTTTGAGAATCAGTTCACGTAGCTGATCTTCCCAGCGCCTCCCGGCGCCGGAGGCGGCCATGTATCGAGGACTGGGCCCCTCGGTGGGGCCGAAACCGGCTGCATGCAGCAGATTTCGTAACCCCCCCTTTCCCAATCCCCCCCTTCCGCCCGGCCCGACAAAAGTCCATGTTTATGTTTCTTATTCTTCTTCGAGCGCTGGAGCCGAGCCGTCTGCCCCAGCCTTAGTGGGCCCTGGAAACGACAAGGCCGTTTTTTTTTACCGGTTCCGGTTTGCCGTTTTTCTGCCGGTTCCGACGCCGTTTTTTTTTACCGGTTCCGCCGCCGTTTTTTGACCGGTTCCGGCTCCGGTTCCAATCCTGGAGCCGTTTTTTTGCCGTTTCCGGTCGCCGTTTCTTCGCCGTTTCCATGTTCAAGAGACATTCTTTTTGGAAACGGTGAAAAAACGGCCCTGCCGTTTCCGGGGCCCACAAAGGCCCCAGCCCCTCGGTGCTCCGGGGATCGCGCGAGCGCCGCCCTCCGAGCCGAGCTGTGCCGAGCTGTCTGCCCAGGGGCGCCCCGTCGCCCCCCCAGACGTCAGCAGGACGCCGACGCCGGGCCGGCCGGCGAGCGCACCGGACATATATCTGACTGCCTGACAGAGCACCCTAACCCAACTCGAGGACCCGAATTTCGGGCTGGGGGGGGGTACAGTCGAGGCGTGGACCTAAGGAACCTTCAATAAGGAGCGAGACCCCTTTTTTCCATAAGTTAAACTTCGATTTCGTATCGAAAACCTAAGGGAAACCTGAGGCAAACTGTGAAACACTTAAGGAACGCAGAGCCCCTCCCCAACGAAAAGGGTTCCTTCTTTAGGGCCCCGAGTATACGGGCTACATATGTGTTTTTTGTTCGATGTTCCCCGACCCTCCGCCTCTGGCAATCGAGGGGGAATCGGGGCCGTCGGGTTGGGTTTGGGGTGGTTTAGTGGGCGGTGAATGCTGCAGGACAGACCTGGGCATGTCTGCGGAGTGCCGCCAGCCGCTCCAGCATTTCTGAG